GTCATGAAGTATAAGCGGTTGGAGGACGAGGGCACACTGAGGGGCAAACTGCACAAGTTCAACATCCACTCTATCCGGAAGAAAGGCGACAGGTTTGCCGGATATCTCAAAATCCTCACTGGAGTCGAACCACAGGTAAAATACTCGGCAAAAGAAGAGCTCTCTCAGGGGATTATAAGTGAGTGCATGGAATAAATGTTATGAGGCTTTTTGACCTCACCGTTTAAATACACTTACGCTGCATAAAGGCACATTATTGATATACAAATTGTCGCACAGATGCAGTTAGTGGTGGCAGGCAGATATTGAGCTACAGACTTACGCATGTTTAAACTCTTCTGTCTGTAGGTGAGAGATGAAATATTTGATCGAGAGGAGAAGCTGTTCCGGAGTCTGGAGAAGGCTGTGAGGCAGCTGGCCAAGAACGTTCAATGTTACCTGCAGCACACCCAGGTGGGGACACATTAACATATCAAAAGTGTGTGCGATGGTTTGGAATAATCCGCTAACTATTTTGTTCCTTGACGTCCGCTCTGCAGGAGATGGTGTCTGTAGCTGTTCAGAATGTCCAGGACATGGAGGACATCCTCAAGGATCCAAACAAAAACCTCACGAATGGCTCTTCAGACACTAATGGAAATGATCCCTACAAGCACTTTGTAAGATATGTTGTTTTATCTGCCAAAAGTAAAAAGTCTTCTTCGGAGCATCATATACTTCCTTCCTTAATCTGTTTCTGTCCTTCCTTTGCTGTCCTGTTCCTACATGATCTCCCGTTCATCTCTCCCTGTCGGTCCCCTGTCACTTCCTCTGGACCTCTAACCGTCCCACTACGTCCCTCAGTGACTGCCTCCCTCTCATGTCCTCTTCTCTGTGGGAATCGCACTACTGCTGAGATATCTGATTTCTGAGATAACGATACCTTTCGACAAGATAATTTGTGTTGCACAGCCTCAAACCAAAGTCCGTAATAAGCTTTGTAAAATAAATGTAGATACAAAGGCATTGAGATTTTGTATGAAATCCATTGTGTTTCCTGTGAAAACATGACGGCTGTAACTGATTAACAGAGAGACTGTTATTACTGTCGGCTAAAACATTAGTGCGTCTGGTCTTTCAGCAGGCAAATCAAGCTGCAGCAGCTCTGTTACCGTAAAGCTGTCTTCTGTAAGGACACAATTACGTGAATCAGATGCTGCTGCATTCAGAAAACATTTCTATTCAAAAACACACATAAGTAGCAGTACTTGTTTACATGTATAGAGAATACTCAAAGGAAATAGTGGAATTTTCTGTTGATCTTCGGCCTGCCTCATTGACTTTTTGATGCAGAAAGACAGTATGGCGCGCCTGGTCCTCGCCCCCCTCTCATCGCTGCAAGGCATGTTCACAGCCCCACAGAAGCTCATCCAGAAGCGTTACGATAAGCTGCTGGATTACTGCAGCCGACTGGAGCGCTCTTCTTCTTTTTCCTCCTCATCCACGTCATCATCCTCCAACTCTTCCTCGCCCTCACCGGTGTCAGAAGACCCACCGGGTCCCGCCAGGAGGGACTATGAAGCCCTCAATGCCTTGCTAGTGGAGGAGCTGCAGAGGTTCAACGCGGCCGCCTACAGTATCCTGACGAACTGCGTGGTGTATCTCGTGGCCCTGCTAAGGGGGCTGATGGATAAAATACTTCTCCGTTCCCCGTCCATTCAGCAGCTACCAGTGAGGGTGCCACACATCGACAACACTGGACACCATGTCCAGTCTGTTCAGGGTGTGTTAAGTGTGTCGTGTTTGCCTCCTCAGGCTCCGCTGTCCAACATTGCTGAAGTGCAGAACAGCATCATGGAAGAGCTGAACAACCTGACCTTTGTGAAGGACAACGCACAGAAGTTGATGGAGCGAAAAGTCAGCTTCGAGAGACAACGAGACAAGAGAATAGCAGTAAGGAAGTGGGAGAACAAGACCATTCACATGCACAGGAAGAAAAATGCAAATGATAGTCTGCGTTGTGTACTATTAGGATTCCTGACTACAGTCCCCTGAGACGTATTTATCTTCAGGTATAAAAGCGTAGGCAAATATGCACATAAACTAGTAATTATATGACTGCGATAATGCTCAGAAATGTTAGTGGATGTATTTATCCCACCGCCGGGAGCTTCCTCCTCACAATAATCTCAGACAACAATAACCAACAATGTGCCTACGTGTGCCCACACACCACGACCGCTTCTGCTCATCGCCTCCCTTTGCTTCCTCCAGCTGCCGGAGGTGCAGCATCAGACCGAGGAGCAGCGAGCCTGGCTGCTGGCAGAATACCCGGTGAGCCGCCTGTACCAGCTGAAGAGGAAGTGCAACGGCTGCCAGGAGCAGGACCTCGCCCTCCTGGAGGGGGAGCTGATCGCCCTGCTGGAGGACACAGACCCATCGGGCAGCAGCAGCCGCTGGCTGGTTCACACCGGAGGTGTGTGTGTGTGTGTGTGTGTGTGTGTGTGTGTGTGTGTGTGTGTGTGTGTGTGTGTGTGTGTGTGTGTGCAAGCAGTTAGTGAAACACGCAAGGGGAGTTAAGTTATCACACTAGATCGTCTGCAGGAGTATTGTTGGTGTAGTTCTCCTTTCATACACATTCCTCTGTGAATATTCCTGCATGTGTTACATGACTGGGGCCGTGTAGACAAACAAAACTTTACTTTCCAACACGGACATGTCAGCACACAAGAGCTAGTCGCAGGGGATCTCCTCTGTTGTCGTGGTTGCTGGTACGTCTCCGCCTGCCTCTGGAGATGGTCGCCTCTCAACCCGGCTCCACACTCCGCAGCTTGTCTCCATCTCCACGTCTTGCGGAAGCACCTGAGATCCCGGCGTCTTGTTTGGAACAAACCCCAGCGTGTTGTAAGCAGTGTTTCCTCGAGTACAAAGCCTCTCCCCGTGGGTGTTGGAAAACAAGGACGGAGAGATGACGCTTGCTCCGTATTCGAGTGCTGGAAGAAAAAACGAGATTGTGTGCGAGATGTTTGTTCTTACGAAGTACGTTCTTGTCTGTTCCTCTGGGATTAGCAGCAGTCCCGGGAGGTTGTTGTTCATCCTTCTGTTGATATGCTTACTTCACATGTACACATTCCTCTGTTCACTCGTATGGATTTAAGGTTGTGTGAAAAACTACAATAATGTTTACTGCCTTGATGTAAGACACACAGTCCCACGTATTAAAACACATCCTCTAGTGAAGTAGATTTTGGATTAACTGAAAATGTTTACCGTTTATTCCCCACATGTTACGGGTCAGATCACCCAAATCACAAAAGTGAGAAAGCATTTTTTTTAAAGCTTAAATTGATTTGTTTTAATTTGACTGAACTAACCCCTCAAAATGAACAGAGTGTTCAGGCATCCTGACAAACTGCACCTTTTTGTGACCCTGTTAGGTGCCCAAGGTTACGTCTACTCCACATTCCTGAAGCAGTACAACCCTCTGAGGGACTCCCAGCGGGGGGGCCGGAGGCCGAAAGATCAGCAGCAGCAGCAGCAGCAGCAGCAGCCACAGCAGCCGCCGGCTGCCATGGCGGACGAGGACTTTGACGACATCAGCCTGTTTGTGTCGGGCAGCGGCAGCAGCAGCCTGCGCAGCTTCAACCTCAACACCACCGACAGCGGCTCGACCCTGTCCGGGCTGCAGGGCGAGCCCGAGGGCCCCGAGGGCCCCGAAGACCCGGAGGACACGGAGGCTCAGCAGGTGGGTGTCGTGGCCTGTGTGTGTTTTTAACTGCACATTTATTGGGGTCGTTGTAAGCTGCTGCGGCGCTGAGGACAGGAGGGACAGGTGGAATGCCTTTTTGGGTAAACAGGCGACGTCCGGAATATTAATGTCCTGCAAAGTAAACAGTTAAAGCACGCTGATGTGCGCACACGTGTGACCAATCAACCAAGCTGTATTTGGGCATCTGAAAAATAAGGGGTGAACCTGAAGCACATTGATGTTATTACAGAGAGCCAGTAAAAGTGAAAATTGTAACATTAAATAATAGGAAACGATGACAGCGTCACTCTGGCTATAAAAGCTTTGCTCTCTTAGTGGTTATGCTATCCAATAAGTCCCTCTGATCTTTATCATAACGCCGTGATGGGTCTTTAAACATGACATGTTTCATATGGCTCAGTACATCGTAAACCAACATATAAGCGGTAACATTCTGTCCACGTGGAGAGCTGATGAACAGCGCCTCCTTCTGGATCTATAGGATGATACACTTGAATATTACTTCATGATTTCAGTGCATATTAAGATTGAAGACCACTAACCACCAGTTCTGTTACAATTTGCTTTGCTCCTGATTACATCTGATTTGCGTCTCGTTCCACAGTTCTATGCTGTGTATGCATTTCAAGCACGCTGTGACCAGGAGCTGACCCTGCAGGAGTACCAGCACGTCCGCATCCTTCAGTTCCATGACCTCGGAGGCAATAAGGACTGGTGGTTAGCGGAGGCTAACGGACAGAAGGGATACGTCCCGGCCAACTACCTGGGCAAGATGTCCTACGCATAAACAGAGGCACCGTAGCATGTGACGCCCTGTAAAACACGGCGCATTTCTGCGCGGTGAAAGTCAAAATCGCACCAAGTATCACCGGATCTTTTATGTTTCGTACCAAAAGTGTTGATCTTGTTTTGCCTTCAGAAGATCAGAACAAGGGAGCTCTCTAATGGGACCAGTAATCTGTGATTAACTAAATAATGGAAGGAGAACACAAGGCACTACGCCGAGCACTTTTTTCACTTCAGTGTTGGTGAATTTTAAATGGATGAAGTGATTTATCAATGAAGCTATTTTTGTATGTGAACTGATTTCAAAACATGAAGGAGTATATGTATTTAATGTGAAATTAATAAATCTATTATGACACCATGTATATTTGAAGAATTACATGAATAAAACGTGATGACGTCTCCATTCGTCCCGTTAAATGATAAACATTCAAGGAGACCACATAAAAGAAAGTCGCTGCTCACGCCCGTTTCTAAGAAGAGATTTAATCTTTTTGATGATGAAAAATGACACCTTTTCAACGGACCGACGTGTTAAGACAGAACGAGGTACACAGTCCAGCAGCATTCACACAAAGCAAGATTCAAGTATTTGACTGGATGGTGTTACTCATGAACGGCTACTCTTAATCCAGTCAATGCTCTGGCACCAGTTCCACATTAGTTTTCAACTGGTTTCCCTCCCGGCTCATTTCTTCAGTTTCTTCTGCGCGGCTTTCTTCTTCACCAGCTGTAACCGTTTCATGGCGTTGAGCTGGGACTCCTGGGACGTTGGCGCTTTGTCCCCTGGTGCCGCCTTGGACCCATTCCCGTTATTCCCGTTACCCCCTCCGTTGCTGCCTCCGTTCCCTCCTCCACTCGCGCCGCTCGGGGACCCGCCCCCCGACGAGGCGGGCCCTTTGCCTTCACCGCTCGACGAGCGGTTCAGAGGCTGCTTGCCCAGAGTCAGCGGTGGAGGCGGCTTTAGAGGCACCTGGCTGGAGCCGTTTCCGTTGCCGCTTCCGGGTATCTTTGCACCACCACCACCACCACCACCGGGTGCCGACTTGGCTCCTGCGAGGCCGGACAGCCCGACAGGTTTCTGGCCGGAGGGAGCCGTCAGGGTCTTGTGGCTCCCACTCGGGCCCGAGGATCCTTGTTTGGAGACGGCAGCGAGAGACGGACTCGTCTTGGCGCCAAATGCGGCCCAGCCTGTGAGGCCGCTGCCGGATGAGGCGGAGCTGCTGCTGGTGGGATTGGCTGATGGTGTAGATGTCTGAAATGATGAATGACTACCACAATTATTGCAGTGCAGCACACATTCAGCAGAGACTAAAAGGAATTGTCATTTTGCAATAGTAACTTTCTAATGGCGCGTTTCCACCGAGCGGTACAGGTTGGGTTGGTACCCTTTTATTTGTGTCTTCACTGCCAAAAGTTGAGAATTGTACCAAAAATCCAAACCGTACCACTTTTTGAGTACCCTTCCGTTGGGGTACCTGGCACAGTTGTTTGGTACTAAAGGGTGGAGCTAGACTCACTGCAGAACGTTGATTGGCTAAAAGAGTGTCGTCATTTGCGCGTGCCGCAAGGGGAAAGACAACCACACATGTAGCCTTTGCTCAAACAAAGATTGTCGTCTTCTTGTGACAAACAGCCGCATATTGAGAAGCAAGAACCGGATCGGCTGTATGTCCTCCGTTGTTGTTTGCGGTTAACTTTTAGTTTTCGCGCGATCGAATGACGTCAATCTACTTTCCGTCATATACCACGCCTATCAAGTGACGTAATCACTACTTTCTGGAATACACCACGCCTATCAAGTAAGGGTACTGTTGGCGGTGGAAACGCTCGCCAAATCATGGTTAACAGACCTGACCCATACCGACCCGACCCGTACTACACCACTCGGTGGAAACGCGCCATAAGTTTTGACAATTTAAGGCAAATGCGAAAGTGTCTTTGGGCAAGCTACTAAACCCTACACTGTTCCTAAAGGCTGTGACCATTAGTTTACATCAGAACAAGCAGTTTAGCAGCTTGTATGGCAGCCTCTCTCATCTGTGGGCAAGTATGTGTGAGCATTTTGTGTGGTTTGAAAGACTAGAAAGTCCATTTAATTGCAACAAGTAATAATAGCACATAAAACGGAGGCATAGAGCCACAATTAGTTCAACACAAACCTTCAATTCTGTTCTTTTGAAGGCTTGGAAAGTGCTGGTTGTGTCAGGCTTGGCTTTAAGCTCGGTCTTTTTCACCAGTGTGTCTTTGACCACAGGGGCTGATGATGCAGATGCAGGGGACGGCTTCTGTGGAGGTTTCTGGGCCTTGAGGACAAACATAGCTAGTTTTAGACCAAAGCAATATTTACAAAATTCTGCAACTACAAACATGACTCATTCTTATTGAATCACAAAAAGACAAAGCACTAAGACAAATCAAACAAAGACTGGCTTATCGGTTATATTCCCTTACCATGCGTTTCATTTGCCTGGTGCAGCGGGCACAATACCACACAAGTCGTGGATCATTGACTTCTTTGTCGGTCACTTGTGGCTTGTGACAGTCCTGGTGGTACAGATTATGGCACTCCTGGCACTCAACCAACTGGTTTCCCATGGTCACCGTCATTTGTCTTTGGTGATGGAAAAGAATCCCGTAGGTTAGTAACGTTTCCTTTTTTATCCCAGAGATTTGAGGCCCACTAATATCCACTCTTAGATTGGAAAACAGACAAATAAGAAAACTAGATTGTGAATGTTATGCTAATAATTCAAAATGTACCTGCAGACCACACAAGCCAGGCCCATTTCCATTGCAAAGTCATCCGCGTTGGTCTCGTCGTAGTCGTTTATGTTGGGCAGAAGGTCTTTGCTCGTCTGAACGGTGATCGGAGAAGAGCGACTCTCCGGTTTCTCCAAACGAGGCTTTTTGGGAGGGTCCACCTCCACCAAGTCGACCCTGACCTGTTTTTCAGCAGGACGAAAGAGTTCCGTCAACGTCACGAGGAGCAACTTAGCTAATGTACAGCCATCTTATCGATTGTTCTACTATCTCACTAACTGCGTGGATCTGCTTTGTCTTTCTTGCCTGTGAGTGCTTTGCAGTAGAGAATAAAATAAGTAATGTCTACATCTAGTTGACGCATGACTTAACAGTTACAGTTCAGGCTTTTTCGTTTCAGTTTTATCAAATTCCTTACAACTGAACACGTGTACACAGTCAGTAAAAAGACATGTGAAGCAATGGTCAATGTAGCCTCAAAGACGGCAATACTTTTAACGTGGTTTTGACTCAATTCTGGAGAGTCTACTTATTCCGTACCTTCTCGACCGGTCTCTTCTCAGAGTCTTTCTTGCTTTTCTCAGAGTTGGATTTGCTGCTGGTGCTGCTGCTGCTGCTGCTGGAGGAAGAGGAGGAGGAACTGGAGGAGGACTTCGAGTCCTGTTTACTTAAGCTCAGCTTGGACACCTTGGAAACCTCGATGTCCTGAGGATACACAATCATAAAACTGTATAAAAACTGTGTAATTGAAAGCGACATCAACAACGAATATTAAAAAAAAACAAAAAACAATTACCTTTTGCAACGAACGGTAGAATGAGTCACCTCCTCTGGAGAGCGACTCATCTAGTAGAGCTTTGAGTTTCTCCACCGAGTCTTTGCTCTTGGAGTGCAGGTAACTCAGTCCTTTGAGGAAGATTGGATCCAGCTCCAGACTGACAGGTCCAGCCATGGCTTAACCCTGGGAATCATAAAACAATGTCCGCTTTTAAAGCATCGACACGATCCTATCAAATACCGCGGCTACGAGGTGTGTTACATAAATGAGAGATAAACAAAACCAAGTTGCCAGGTTAGACTTTTCAGATGGATTACGTTACCTAACAGTCTGATTCTTTTAAATGTTTGGCCCTTAATCCGGTAGTTTGTTTTGGTGAGCAACAACCGTTAAAGGTTGAACACTTCCTAGATGAGGCTCCTTCGCACTGATGTGTTAGCGGTATGCAGCCTTAGTCGTCGACTTGTGCAACACTTAAATACGTCCGGAATCTAGTCGCTCGGAACCATGGGTGGATAAAGGGTTTAATGGACTAATTCGACATATCTTTACAGTCTATATTTAGTATATGCTTAGATATGGAAAATGCATTTTTTTCGGTATTTAAAACGTATATGACGCCTGTGCATCTGGCCGCCATTGACTCGTAAGTGTTGATATGAGACACCAGATGGCGCCGTTGAGCTAACCAAGCGTAACATTAAACAGAAGAAGAAGAAGCGCGGAACAGGAAGCGTGCATCCTTCCAACGTGCTCCTAGTGAAGCTGCCGGTGTGTATGTTTTTATTACTGAAGTATCGACTAATGTCATTTTACGCGCCCGGTTCTTACGGTGTATTCCAGCTAACGCGGGTCTCGCTGCACTACATGAAAAGACACCTGAACTTATTCCACGTCCCCTGTTAACCCCCCCCCCCCCCCCCACCCTCTGTTGTCTTCTTCCCCTCCTTCACAGTAGTTACTATTAACGATGAAGCACACCGAGGAAAGCCCACAGCGACCCTCCCTTTTTCTAGAAGTCTGCTGCCAAAACGAGGAGCCCCGTCTCCCGCTGCACACCTCCATCGCCCTGTTTCTCCTGTCCTACTGCGAGTGCAAGTCCTTCAAAGTCTTCCTGGTCTTCGGCACACCTGGCGGCTCCCACGCCCTGAGGGGTCAGCTGCCAGCCGGGTTGGACGTGTGCGACCTGCGGCCGGAGGATGTGCCCCGGCTGGTGAGGGGCTGCCGTCTCCCCGCGGTGCTGGATGAGACCGGGATGCTGTGCAGGGCGGGCCTGGCGGTGGTCCTGAGACACGTCATCGACAAGACCACCGAGGCGGACCCTTCCAGAAAGAATGTTCTGGCACTGCTGGGGTTCAAGAAGACCTGCCTGAAGGCCTGTGCGGAGGTGGGTGGCGAGCGGGGACGCAAATAGGCATCCATCGACAGATGTGTGCAGGCAGATATGATGCTAGTATAGATGAACCTGCAGACTACACAATCCTACACAATGATGGTGTTAGCCCCCAGTAACACTTGAATTTAGGGGTTTAATACTTTTTAATTACTTTTTTTCATCGAAAGGAGCTGATACTCAACTGTTAATTCATCAATATGTTTCTGATAAAGTACATTTTTTGATACACACAATATAGAATTTTGACATATATTGAATAGTGTCCCCTCAAATAATTAATTCTGATTCTAATTGCTCAATTGCAGTTCACCATACAAAAAATCTAAAATCCAAATTTGTTTAGTTTTAGTTAAGTAATTCAAGGAAATTCCTCTGGAATTCATGAATGCTTTTTTAACTCGAGTCAAAACTCAAAAGAATTTCCCCACAACGTGTGGTTGAACAGTTGAGTTCATAATTGCATTGTTCTTCACCAGTAACTTCATCATAGATTTTAATATGCACCCTTCAAATAAAGCAGTGCCATTGCTGTTCAGTTGGTTGTGGGTTAAAGTCGTCGGTGGCCCTTCACTTTACTAATTATTAACTAATTAGCAAATATGTATATATGCCAACTTAATGTTTATTTTACTATAATGATGACTCAATAGGACCGGGGTCGGTTTACTTCCCAGCATGTTGTTTGGGGTTTGGTAAAAGTTTCAGCAGTGTTCTACTTAGATGGATAGAATGTAACATTCACAAATATTGAACAGTCAAGCAATGATGTTTTATTTTGTTCCCTTTATAAAAGTCCCTGCGACATTTTCCTTCCTCGTCCACAGGTGAGCAAGTGGACCAGACTGTGTGAAATCGGAATCCCCTCCGCAGTAGAAGAACACCTCAAAGATCCCACTAACCCAGATCAGCAGCTGCCTCTCGCCATCCTCACCCTGGAGCGCAGGCGAGCGGAGCCGGTCAAAGTCCACAACGACGACAAGATCCGGAGACAGAAACTCCAAGCGCAGAAAAGGAATAAAAAGAATCAAGGCAAAGGGAACCGAAACGCTCAGCCTGAGCCCGGACAATCGCCTCAGGTCAGTGACGAGCACGAGCTCAGGACGGCTCTGGCCAAGCTCTCTGTGGATCCAGTTCCAACAGCGGCCACCAGAGAGAACTCCGACATCAGGAAAGTTAAAACCACGGACCTGCCTCCACTGGAGCATGTGTTTGCAGAAGGACTGTACTTCACTCTGACCGACGTGGTGCTGCTGCCGTGCATCTACCAGTACTTGGTGAGCACCTTTTTTGAGTTTGAATGTTGGCAGTAATGAACCCCCAGCCTGGCGTGTAATGAACCCCATTACTGCCCTGAGCTATTGCCCAATGAAGATCCATGAATGCACGTCAAATGCTCATTTAAGGTTATCATCGCCGGCTGTATTTCCTCTATAAGCCATACAGGAATTTATTACGTGGTCTAATTCGGCATGCCTTAAGGTTTTGACACTTTGTTCAGGTTGAGCCGTCAGTGCACACAGCTGCTTTCAGATCCATCCAGGCAGAACCCTGAGTTAAGATCCTCGCTGCGTCAGACTTGGTGCAGGTTGTGCTCGCAAAGGTGGTCTAGAGCCACCTGGCAAAGACGTGTGTGTGTGTGTGTGTGTGTGTGTGTGTGTGTGTGTTTCAATGACTCTCCTTTTTGGAAGGTTTTCTTTTTATCTCCCACTGATTGATTGACTGAGCGTATCGGTGTTTATATTGACGGTAAACCTCTTCAAGAGCAATTCGGGGAGACTCCTGAAGCTCATGAAATTCATTCTGAATACTTATTAGATAGATTATTAGTTACATCGTTTAGAAGTTAAGTGGCTAGCGGCAATTACAGTAGCTGCAGCGGAGATCACAGGGCACCCCGTCCGTTTAGTTCAGCGGTATATCGTTATTGATCAGGAATGCTGCTCTTGTCATTTAGCGAAGTGGGTCTCAACCTCCGTTCCACCCTTCGGCCCCCCTCCAACTGTTCCTCCACTGTGGGAACGGACTGAAGTTCCCACAATGAGGCCTTTAGTAGTCAGCTGTGCTCCACTGGTTTCCAGTTTCACAGCCAGCCTGGCGTGTCCGTGCCTCCCCTCCACGGCCATCGCTGTCCACGACACACGCGGGCCGCGACGGATGTTTCCCACTCCGCCCATGTCGCACTACAGAGTACACCACACCCCCACTTGCCCCCCCCCCTGTCTGCGTCTGTATTTTCTTCTGTCTTCTGCATACACATCAACAATGTGCCTCTTCCTGCCGGCCCCTCGCGTCCGCCTGTCCGCCAGCGTGATGAGTAATCTCCAGTGGAATCTGACATCTCGCTCCGCTGGAGATTACACGGCAGATGAGTCACTTAATCAATATCTCTTTGTTTTGTTTTTTTCTCACCCTTTTCTCTTTTGTTCCTTTTTTTATTTTTTCCTTTGATAGTGTTCCCTCCAAGCTCACGCTGCGAGCTCTCTCCATCAGCTCCCCCACCTGCTGCGTTGGTACAGCCGTGTTCAGGAGGTACCCGGGGTCCTTAGGGCTGCCAAGGAATGTGGGATGGATCTGTCCATCCCCCGAGTGCTCATGTCCGGCCTCCCGGCGCCCTCAGCAGAAGACATCCCACCTAGCCCGTCGGAGCCAGAAGAAGGGAAGGAGACGACCCTGCAGCTCCGCTTTGTCGGCGGCCCGAGGCCCACAATGACAAAGCTTCAAGTAAATTATAACCTTTTCCTCACTTATCATGTGTTAAACCCTGCAAATAGGCTCCCACACATCCAGGGATTTGAGCATCTGTCGTTTGGTGTCCAGTCAAAGTGCAGATGGAGGGTTGTTAAAGATGCTTGATACAAGGTTTGGAGAATCTAGATGGGATCTCCATGCGGCGACGCCTGAGGCTAACGGCTAACGTACTGACAGTGTTTAGCTGACTCTTGTCTGATGGGACGCCGTGGTCTGCAGTAACCACTGCATGAGGGCAGCAGGCTTGGGGGTGCGAGTGGGGCCCGCTCACGTGCACCAACATGCACTTACGGGTTGTTCCGGCTGGGTCAACGAAGCTCAGAAGCTCTGATAACAACACACAGATAGGGAGAGTGACTTTATTCTCAGCTCAGATAGACGTCATTCCGCTATATCTCTGGACACACTTTCTCATTCCATTGAATGAAAGTGCTTTCAGTCGAAGAATTAACTTTTGAAGTTGGCTGTTTTAAGATGCTTGTCTGTTTACATTATTTTCTCCTCACAGTATTTCTTTATCAATCAATACAAACCAATAATAAATAAGTGACCAGTTTTAAAATAATAATCATCAGTGAATCCTGTTGCCAATACGGCTAACTATGCACATATCAAGTGCAGTACACTAAATATTTCCCCAGCACCATTTTCTTTCTACTGGCTTTTCCAGAAGGAGATAAGCAGACCCAGCTGTTCAAAAGGAGACTGCCTCCTCAGCCCTGACTAACCTCTGACGACTAAGCCTTCAGACTGTTCACTTGGCCTTCCTGCTCTGCTCACTCAGCCAAGATATTCCTGTGATTTCCTGCTGGCTGTCTACGACTAAGTGTTTTTTTTTTTCTTAGTGACTGGAAGAAAGCAAAGGGAGAGCGCACTATTTGGCCGGTTTGGATGAGGCGTATGAGTGAGCTGGGTCGTCAGGATGGGATTTTCCTTTTTAACGTGCCATGCTTCCGGATTGAATTCAGATGGGCACAGAAGTGCTCAAATGACAGTTTTCATAGCAGGTTAAAATCAGACATTAAAACGGAGGATTCCCGTACACAATCTCACACACACACACACACACACACAATGGGCATCATTCTTTCTTTGCCGAGAGGGATTATAGGGATGGCTGCATGTCGCCACCATCATGTCTGCCCTGCAGCTGTTCTCTTGGCCCGGCTGAGTGTGTGTGTTTGTGCGTGCACACATGCATATCTCCTCATATATGGCTGTGCGTTCCGAGGCAAGTACGTGTAGACAGAGAGGTCTGACATGGTGACATGCAAGCTCTCTGCTAACCAGACGCACCAGGCTGATCCCGCTACTCTATATAATATAAATATAGATCTATAAAGGGCTCGTTAACTCCTTACTTCAGTCATCACACACTGATGGATGCCAGTTCGAACTGTCTGTGCAATGAGCTGTAGACGCCCAACCTGTGATCTAAATGTAAACAGAAGAGTCGCCCTGGTACCCACATTCTAAACCGAAGATTTTAACCTGCCTGCGGTCCCAGACACGTTGATTGACAGGTCTCTGAATAGAGTTGCTAACATCAGCCAAAAATTCAATCCGTGAAATATGGGGGTTGGTCCAAAGGAGGATTAGTGAAGTAACAGGATTAGTAGTAATCATGTAAATCTGGCATTTTCTGTCAGCAAGTCAAGTCGTTCTTAATTAAGAAGCCCAATATAACAAATTTCCCCCGGGGACGTTTGGCAAACTGTCCGCCATTCAGCTCCCTACGTCCGCTTTGAGCCTCGGTCAGAAACTCCAAAAAAGACGACCTCCTCCTAGGCACGATGCACAAACAAACAAGAAGCACATAGTTCCCACGGATTGGAGAAAGAGACAAACACTCAGAGGCAGGTGGGCCGACACGAGGCACAATGATGGCAGGATGGGGCTCACGGGGAAACTGCCAGGAACCGGGACTACTGGCAGTCTGCGTCCAACCTTCGGGAACTGAAACTCCACAGCTGCGCGGCAGCTTCCTTACTCGGTTCCGGTTCCCTTTAAGACTCCGCTCTGCCAGCTGGAAGGGAGGGCGCCCCCTTGACTTCAGCCCGTGACCGGCACATTGTGGAAATGTGGCCTAGACGATTAATGATGATTTAAATGTTCATTTGTGGTTTACATGGTTTAGTCTGTGTGATACTTCACACGATGCCTCGTCCCAAGGACATTTCAATGCAGTTGAATGCTACATGGCTAAACGTTTGTCAGAACGTGTCATTTTGAACCTGTGCTGTGTTGAAAGGCATTGCATTATAATGTGGTCTTTTGTTTTTGCTGTTTCTTTAAAGTAAATTAGGTTAACCGTATATTGGAAATGCTGATATAATACAAGGGTACACCACACAATTCCTCTCGCGCGTTACTGCAGTCACCACACAAACAAATTAAGTAGTAGGGACAGATACTTTTTTCTTCTTTTTTAAATATAGTGTTTATTCAGCGATGCCCCGTGTTTTGTGTTGAATTACATCATGCAAGACTTATTATTTTCAGACTTTCAGTTGGTATCTTCGAGTTATTTAAATACATTTTTGCCTCTATATGCTATGAAGGGAGGTATACTGCATATTACACCGTGATCATACTATCCTCTGTAGTTTAGATGTTTGTCTTTTAAGTTCGTTTTACTATCATGCATTTTGTTATAGAGACAAAATATATTTGGAATACAAGGAAAGACTTGAATAAGGACTTGCATGTGTGTAATTTAAACCCCCAAAACAAGTTAATAGTGTCAGAGAAAATAATACTCACAAAATTAAGAAATGGATGACGTTTTGCCTCCACCACACGTTACTTGTCAGATGATCTGTCCTATTTATTGGTCACCATATTAAACCAATTATCACAGCGGCCAGTTAATCCTTTCCTGCCTTTTATAAACTGTGCCAAAGCACAGGATTATATTTGTAACTCTTATCAGCAAACAGAAAAAAGAACGAAGTGCTTTTACTTCTCTAAACTTTTGAACCTGCAGTATTTCCCTTCCCATTATACATTTGGGGGCCGGCACCCCACAAATAAGGGGAAACATTGACCTGGTGCCTCAAAGTGTTGCCCCAGTATTTTGCTGAAGCGTACTGGATGTGTGTGAGTAAAGTGCAGTTATCTCTTAGATGATAATAATAATAATAATAATAATGTGTGCCGTAGCAGTGGCCTCTCCTCAGGTGAGCGAGGCAGCCGGCTCGGTTGTTTTAAGAACGCTATTCTGAATGAATGCTTCATTCCAACCATTTGGACCACACAACCTGGAGGCTGTGGAGGGGTTTCCATGGTAACGTGTGTGTGTGTGTGTGCACGTTCCTCCCTTAGGAGAGTGGCATTGAGGCAGAGTTCACGCCTCATCCCTGCCCTGACTGGACACTCCCTTGGGACAGCTTACCGGGAGCCATCAGCCCCACTGAAGGTGAGTTCAAATCTCCGCCTGATGGCTTTCCTCCTCGCTGTGTCCGTTTTCGTGTGACCCTTCTGCCCTGAAAAATCTTCTCTGTGCTCTTTGGCCTGGTTTCCTTGTTGTTTTATTGCTTTCATTTTCTTGTTCTTAACCCCAGCCCTTCCCCTGGAGCGTTGGAACCTCGTCCTACTCATCATTTTACCTCCTCACTCTCCCCAAATCTCTATGCATATTCCCCGTACTTACACCCTCTTTCTTTCACCTTATTGCTGGGTAAAGGCCTAAACAAAATGCTACTGGGTAAGAATTTGCAAATGGAACCATCCTGTACTACTGCTGCCTGGAGACTTTCAGTGGCCACTTCTATTGAGTCCCGTGTTGAGCCACAGCTGCCACCTAATGAATTTTAAAGTGCTCATCTACCTGTGCTATCTCGCTTATTTTGTGTAGCAAAAGTGTGAAATGGGTCTTTGACTTAAACAGACTCACAAAAGCATGCTCACGCGGAAGGTTCAAACAACTAGTGTTCTCCGTGGAGCAGAATGCCTGAGCGGTAACCGACTGCAGCGAGAGCAGCTCCTAATAGGCGGCGGGCGGCTTGTTGATGGATGCCCCAGGTGGCACCGCCAAAGAAATCTCAATGTTTCTCTGTCTCCTTTTCTCTTGTCTGCGTGTTTTTTTTTCATCTCCGTCGGTAGCAATGCAAATGGTGTGAATGTGTCATTGTTATTGTTTGCAAGAACATTGAGGGGTTCATAAATACAGGAATATATACATAGTATGAATATTTACATGTTTGGTTTTCTCTTCATCGCCTCGTTTGCATTCATTTCTTGCATCCTGTCCTTTCCACTTACTTGGGAAATTTGATAAGCAGAGGCTCATGCTCATGGATTATTCCTTCACTTATCAGAGAAACAGGAAATTGAAGCTGGAGAGGTATTTAATTATCACGATATCCCTGTGCATGGCACTCTGCCTCTTCTCTCCCCCGGGTTCTTGCAGGCCGAGCTTACACTTCATTACCCCCTGTAGTGTCATCTGAATGAACCTCCTTGAAACGCAACTATACGAGAATAATTGTATCATAAGTAAACCTAATCTGCCTTTCTGTAGTACTTATACGGCCCTTGGTTACGGTGTGCTTCACAAAAATGTAAATGGGATGGTTTAAACACAGAATGTACTGAACATGACCGTATGCCCTGTTGCATCTTATTGACCTAATGGCTCACAGGTTTGCAGACCATCTCTTATTTATTTTTATTTCACTAATTGAGCGGAAACCATTTACAAAATTGATTGGCAACTATTTTGATAATTATTCCTTTTTTTTGGGTCACAAATGCGCACAACGATCACTGATGCAGCTTCTCCGATGTGTATGAAACTGAAGCTCTTTTTTTTTTATACATGATCCAAAAACTGAATATCTTTTAGGCTTTAGCATGCATTTGTCTTAATGGATATTTTGTTATCAATTTTCAACAATGATTAATCCGTTAATAAACCAAATTAATCAATAATTTGTGCAGCCTTTGTAATGAATATCACAAAACGTGTCTGTATACATTGATTGATTCATCAGGCAACCTTCACCACAAAAGGTTTTTCGTGTGGGATTAATTTTCCGGTGGCGTGAATATTCCAGACCCATCAATCCATTATGACCTTCATTTGAATGCTTTAATTAGTTTATGACTTGGTAACTTTATTACATTAAGTCAATGTATGGTTCTAAAATGAACGCCATGAATCTATAAGGATGAAAACAGAATCACAAGTAGTGGTAGTGTATTTTAACGAAAATCAGCACTAACATGATTCACATTCAAAATCCTTAATCAGTCAACTCAATGAGAAACATTTACAATTTTTTGACCACTATTCGTTTTTTATTTTTTACAACCACTTGTAGCCTTTGTGTGTTCTTTCTGTCCAAATGAATCTTCTGTTTCCATCCCCAAAACCCCACTGACATTTAAACTGAGGTGCTGGTGATGATGCGGGCAGCGTGTCTGTTCTGATAACGAGAGCGAGAGAGACTAGATTTCACCCGGCCCACTTCTGTCTGCTCTCTGCATGATGAACGGCTCTGCTGGTGTCCCCTTCTGCAGCATCACCATTGTGGACCGGTAGCCTCTGCGCTTCTTTCAGGTTATACAAATGACTGCACACATGCTCACTCGAAGCAGGGAGGTTCCCCTCTACGGAAGCATAAATATGTCCGTACCGGGAAAACTAATCTGATGAGCCGTCAGATTTAACTTTCACAAAACGAAGAGATTCTGTGAAAGGGTTAAAGTTGAAAGATAAAAACAGGGTTGGCGACAGGTCAATCACACAATGGCCATTTTTTACTCAACATCATGATGTATTGGCGAATGTTTGTACGACCATGGTGGTTTTCTCATAAATGTCTACACAGGGAGTCCAGAGGAGAACCGGGTACTAAAGGGGCTTCCCTTTTTACACTCTGGATCGACAAGGAGGTTAAATTGCAGACTTTTAAAATAAGCTACAATTTGCATAGTCAATGTGATTTTCAACAAATCCAAACACCCTCCAATCTGAAAGTCAACACTTTGAACATTTGAAATGGGTTCTGCTGGTATAAAGCCAACCAGTAAAGACCATCACTGTGGGGTTCTCCCAGACGTATACTTAATATCTACCTATACAAAAAAGATGAGACAATCTCACACGCATGCACCTCTGAAGTACAATGTCTTATTTAAATACTCCTCGGTGTGTTCATCCATTCCTTGGTAAGACGTCTTGCAAACTTAAGCTCACAACAAAGGGTCCTCTGTGCATGGGAGCTGTTTATGCCCCCCGCCCCCCCGCCACCCCGTCTGCAGACACATAAACAGCCGTGTGAATACAGGGTCCATTGTATGGTGCAGTCATCGTCTTGTCTGCAGCGCTTCACTTAGTAAAAGGAGGAGGAGGGGGGGTGAGAAAAAAAGTGGGTTGGAATGATGGAGTGTGTGACAGTGGGAGATTGAGATAGGGGTGAGACGGCCTGAAGAGAGACGAGGGTTATCGAGAGAAAACAAGGCGAGAGGGGTGAATGGGACAATCGGGCATAAAAAAGGGAGGGAGGGCGGGAGGGGTGGGGGCTGGTGTGCAAGCTGCATAGTTTCATGCTTTGGACCTGCTGCTGTTTGGTGCTCCGAGGCTGTTTTTGGTACAAGGAGATGAGATGAGTTCACATGTTTTCTTCTTGGGTCACAACCGTGTGACAGAGGTTGAACCGCTGGAGTGAAAACTGGCTCCATCTGTCTCTCGTCTTCCTCCTTCCACGACAACAGCGATGTGAGATTTCACAAAGTCGGCACTTGGCTGTGGTGTTCTTTGGTCTGGCGGTAGATTGAAAAGATAAAAAGCTGAACAATTAGCACAACTTATTAATGAGTGAGTAGATTTTGTCACATGCACATACGTTTACATCCAACAGTTGGATGCTGAGGGAACGCGGTATGGTTCCACCTTCAAGGTCATCTCCACTATGCGTGGGGCCGAACTCACTGTCGCTGACTTCAGGGCTGGTCAACAATAAAGAGGAACGTCGCTCGGCTCAAGAAGAGTTGCTGCGTTTACACCCAAACAGCCTCATCTGAACAGATGCTGCAGTGCTACGCTCACAGGTGTAACGTTACTGCTGACTTCATACCCGGCGTCACACAAGCAGTCCCTCCCTCAACTCATTCCAATACAATTTAAATAAGCTTTATTGGCATGAATTCTTCAGTTACATAATTGCCAAAGCAAAAGGACACCCATTCTCTCTCGTCTCTCTCCCCTCACATTTGGCATCCGGCAGATTTTGGCCAGCTGTTTGTTGTTGTTTTCGGGCTGGCTGCAGCTTCATGTTTACCGTGCAGTCATGACAGCGGTATCGATCTCCCCGGACGCTTGGCGATGTGTGTGAAACAGACGATTTTTGTTTTGTTTATGCTATCTTGCTTTAAGCAGATCTTTTACTTTCTACTCCTTCAAGACATCCTCCATCATCATCATCATCATCATCATCATCATCATCACCACCTTTGTACGTCTTTGTAAATATTCGCCTCACCAGAAGTCACACATTTTCAGCGCTTTGCTTATTTTCTACTCTAATAAGCAGTTACATCTGTTTTTGTTTCCCTATAGCTTCCAGATACTTATGCATTATGCATCCTAGTTAGAAATGTTAATGCAACAGCTTTACCCCCTGCTCCGGTGTTTGTTTCTTTTAAAGATATTAAGATGTGCTCACGTATAGCGATGCTGTGTTGATTTCACCCACTGTCAGTTTGGCTGCCTGTAATGGATTTGACTTCCGGCATATCATCTCGCTATAATTTAGACACAAATCAGTTGATTGTTCTGACGCACATCCAGAAATATGATATTTCCATTACATTTTCTTAAGTTTCTCTTGGCTGCAAATTTGAATAAATTATTTATTTTAAAGATTCCATCTTTCAACTCATTAAGAAGTATTTCTTTTGAGATGACAATGACATGACATCCGGCACATTTCATTAGCGGCGAGGTATTTGTAGAAATAATTATTGTTATATAGTTAGTCATGGTAGTGTAATGCATTTTTAATAAGCGATCAGATCTGATAAGAAAATCATTAGGCGATGTTGTACTAACTTTTTCTGGATCAACTGATAATGTGACCTCCAGTTCTCATCAGCTCTGTGCAGCTTTTAAGCTGATTGAGAAAGTGGAACATTTAGCAGCTTAAGAGCCTGATATTTCCCTCTGGAGTTGCCGGAGAATAAACGGAGGTGAAAGGAGATCAAATATTTGCATCATTTTGCCAGATGGCCAAAAACACGACTTCAAATGAATTCTAACGTTTTTCATTCTGTATCGCAGCCCTCCTCTTTGGTGATGAACAGTCATGAACGAAGGCAACTTATAGATTTGATCTCTTTTGCTCTAAAGTTAAACACGTATTCAAGTTATTTACAGAAATGTGCTTGATTGAAAATATTATGATTTAACTCTCG